CTGTTGTTGAAGAGCAGATGTTGTAAACCCTTCCGCCATGGGCAGCACCTGACGTGAACCAGTTGGTGGCTGAGACACACACACAAGAGTGCCCAGCCAATAAAACTACAAAGTGCAGATCTATAGTTGACCTCAAGCTTGGGAAATGGCAGTGCTGCCCTCAGCCGCTCGGACAAGCAAGCCCGGTCAAGGGACGACCAAGGAGAAAACCCCATCAAGCTCCTCCCTCCTAGCCCTGCAGATGCCAGCTAGCCTGGCAGCCAACTCCCTGGCTCAGAAGCACCAGGGGCCGGAGAAATCCACCCAAGGGGTAGGCCTCACCCAGGGTTGGCATGCGGCAGCTGCCGCTCTAGGGCCTGGCAGCTGTCACTGGCACTCCCGGGGTGGAAGAGGAGCCCCTTGGCCTGGGAGGAATGACTAAACTTGAAGCAGACCATGGCCTGGAATCCACGATCAAATGCCAGGCTCCAGAAGGCACTGACCACCGTGGCACTCCCCTGGCCCCTCTAGGCCGAAGGAGGCTACTGGCCCGGAGGGGCCTCAGGCAGACCTCGTGGGGCCGAAGGTCTCCCTCACTGGGACCCCCTGGGACCCTCGCATCTGAGGAAAGGATGAGTGAAGGTACTCAGGACCTGGCCCCTGTTGTGGGTGCTGCTGTTAGGACCACTTTGGGCTTGAGGCCTCCCCCCCCCTCCCTGGGCTGAGTTGGAAAGGTGCCGGGAGACCCCATTCACCTCTGCTCAACCCCCTGGGAGATGAGGCAGGGGGAGAGGGGCTTGGGGAGACCTTCAGCCCCCCCCCCCGAGGTCTGCCGGAAGCCTCTATGGGCCAGTGGCCTTTTTTTTTTCTTTTTAACAAAGCCTCAGTGGATGCAGCTTGGCCTCTCTCCGGGCCCTGGCGAAGGAGAGCCCCCCTCCCCCGTCTCCCTCCCGAGTTTCAGCCCGTCTGCCACCCTGCTTCGTGAGACCATTGTGCCCCCTCCCCCCACCCTTGGAAGGAAGGAGAGAGAACACAAGGGGGCACCTTCTAGCTGCTTCCATCCCCGCAAAACAGTCTCTTGCCCTCCGGTCACCTTGTGGGTGCTGCATCCCAGCTACTGCTGGGCCCCCAACGGAGGGGCTGGGGGTCCTGCCAGCCTGCTCAGCCTCTTTTGCTCTTCGGCACACCTGGCTGGCTCTTTCCTGGGGCGCAGGAGCAGGTGACCTGCCCTCCCCCCTCCCTTACTCTGTGTCCAGCAGAGGCCCGCCTGGCCGTATTTTGTGCACAAGGTTTCATTGCGTGTTGTGTGCACCTGCCCTTCCCTGACTGCGGCTCTCTGGGAGCCTCACAGCCACCTGCTGGGGCGTCTTTCGCTCTGAAGCTCAACCGGGCTTCCCATTTGCAAGGTATGTCGAAGCTTTACGGGGCCTTACAAGTAGTCCTCATCTTACAACCGTTAATTTAGTGACCGTTTGAAGTTACAACAGCCCTGGAAAAAGCGACCTCTGACTATTTTTCACACCTGCAAACCGTGCAGCATCCCCAGGCTCACGTGATCCAAATTCAGAGGCTTGGCAGCTGATTCATATTTACAATGGTCGCGTCCCAGGAGGCCACACCCCCTTTTGCAACCCTCTGACCAGCAAAGTCAATGGGGGAGACAGATTCACTTGACAACTGAAGTGATCTGCTTAATGACCGTGGCAAGAAAGGTTGTAAAATGGGGCAAAATTCACTTAACAACCATCTTGCTTAGCAAGCAAAATGTTGGGCTCAATTGCGGTCATAAGTCGAGGACCACCTGTGTATGCCTAATGCACCCGGAGGTGGTTTCTGCAAGAGGGGGCTCTGGGTATTACTGAACAGGGCAAAGCCTTCAGTTGAGGGGCAGGCAATGGGCCGGCTGCTTTACCCACTGCCCCCCCCCGTCCTGCTACAGGCTGTTGTGGTGAGGCTTTGGTGGCGCTTCGCCTCTTCAGGCGCCCCCTGAATGGGGGCCAAGTGCTGGGGAAAGGGGTGGGGGGAGGGTTGCCTGGAAAGGGGGCGGGACAGGGAATCGGGAAGGCAGCAGGTGCAACACACAAATGGCAACACGCACATGGGCGTTGTGGTTAGGGAGCAGCTGTGCAGGTGCTTAAGATGTGTCTGAAGATGCCTGCAGCCCTTCACCCCAAAAGGAGATGAGCTGAGGGGCAGCTGAGGCCAGTGGTGGTCAAGCCTTGGACTGAATCCTCTTTCTTGAACCCGAGGAAGCTGCAGCTGCCGTGGAGGGAGGGCTCCAGGGGTCAGGCTGTGGCCAGGCAGCACACTGCAGGGGGGGAAGGGGGGAGGAGAGATCCAAAGACAGACTTGAGAAGGCGGAAAGGGCTGGCGGTCCTGATCCTGAGTCTGACCTCTAAAGGTCGGGGCCGAGGCCTCCATTCTATCTTGAGCAAAAGAGGTAGGCCAGCCAAGGAGAGCCTGGGGGTGTCCTTCTGCCCCCCTCTCCGTGGCCCCCAGGGCACTCTGGATTGGCAGGGGCTGCCACACCAGGGGACAGGCAGTTCGGACCCAGGAGGTGTCTGGAGAACTTCCATTTTGGGACCCAGCCAGCCCAGAGACCTGATTGCCATCTATGTTCAAAATACAGGAGGGAAGCAGGGGGAGGGCACCCGTTCGGCATCTACCAGGAGCAGCCACAGCGGGCAAGGCTGGGTTGGAGCCACGTGTGTGCCAAGGTGCATTTGTGCAGGCATGCACAGGGCACGTGCCTCCCCCCCATCCACGTTGCTTAGTAACTGGTTTCCACAGGAGTTTGCCGCCCTCTGGTGGACGTGGCCCAGGCTGGCAGCCAGCTTTGCCCCTTCTGAAGCAGCCCACAGACCATCTTGAGGATCTGTTCCCAGCCAGATTTGAATTGGAGAGGCAGATGGCACCCTGGCACCAGCTCAGTTAGAGCCCCAGATTGGCAAGCCAGTCAAGCAGATACGGGCACGAGGGTGGTTTTGCAACTGAGCCATCCCTGCTGCCCACCCAGCCTCTGAGTCATTCCAGAGGGAGGCGGCAAATCCTCAGCCGAGGCTCTCCCACAACTTTAAAAATGGCCAAGATGGGAAGGGCATTTTCAGAAGATACCAAACTGTCCTCACAGGACAACATGACCTCGACAGGCTTGGCCTCTGGGCCAGACTGACCCAGGAGGAGGAAGGTCAGTGCTGAACCCTTTGCACAGGAAGAAGCCAAAGTGCCAGAAAACCTGGTTGTGCACGTGACAAGATGTGGGATCTCCAGCTGAACGTGGGCAAGCAGGGCAATGTGGCAGCTAAGAAGCCAAATGCCATTAGCAGAAGCACCACAGCCAGGCGGGGGAGGGGAGGCTGGCGGGCAGGACAGGCAATAGTTCCATTGCACTTTCGGATGTTCTGGTCACTCTTCTCCAGTTTTGGGCACCAGCCTTAAGAGAGACGTAGTGAGAGCTTCCAAGATGATCAGGAGCTTGAACACCAACCCTGGAAGGAAGCTTTATAAGAGCTGGGAGGCCGAACCTGCCAAGGAGGAAGGAGAGGGGTCTGCAAACCTCTGTCTTGGGTAAAAGATTCTTCTCCACTGTGGAAACCGAGAGAAGGACAATCAGCCAGTCCAAACGTAAAGGAGGCAGATTCTGTGCAGCGTCAGAGATTTCTGAGATGCCAGAGTTGTAAATCAACAGCACCATCTGCCGGGAATGGTGACTTCCCACTCACCAAACACTTTCAAAGTGCGTTGGTTGAGTGATTGCCAAGGATTGTTTAGATGACTTCTAAGTGTCTTTCCAACTCACGCTTTGTATGAACCAATGAGGTCCATGTTGGCGGCACTGATCTCTTTGCCTGCTCTGTGAGCAAATGGATGGCCTGGCTGACGACTGCATGAGGGCGAGGGGGGGGGGCAAAGCCATCAAATCAACTTACCAGTAGAAAACTCCATGGCAGTCGAAGGGATGGACGGGAAGCTTCTCCCCTAAAAAAATGCTGGGTTCCAATTTTTAAAAAATCTGGCCTTGTTTCCTATGGCAAAAGGGACGCAAACAAGTACCGCTGCCCACGTGTATACATGAGGAAAGGAAGCGTTGGAGGAGAGCAGCTGGCCCTCCCCACCCAGCATGAGCCGGCTTTGTGCTGCACAGCCAGAACAGCTGATGCGACCTTGGGCTGCCCCAACAGAGGTAAACCACGGAGGTCCCAGGGAGAGATACCTGCCCCACACGCCCTGCTCAGGGGAGTCCTGGAAGACTGGGCCCATTTCTGGCCCCCGGGATACAAGGAGGTCACAGAGGAACGGGGAATGGGGCAGAGGAGAGCGACCAGGATCACAGCTAGATTTCCCCGGCAGCTTTAGCCTCCAGAAGAGAAAGGCCTCCCAGCAGCAGTCTTCTTCCCAGCCTCGAAGGGCTGGCCCGGGGAAGGCAGGCGGGGGGGGGGGGAGCAGTTATTTTATTTATTCAATGTTTATCCCGCCCCGTCTCCCCTACGGGGTGACCCTATCCAAAGTTTTTCTCCGGACAAGACCCAGCCTGGCAGAGAGGGAGCCCAGCTCAAGACTCTCGGGGCCACAAAGCAGGGGCTCCTCCTCGGGGTTCAAAGCCACCATCCTTTCTCGGGGATGGCCTGAGGAACCTCGTGCCGGGCAGAGGGCTGGACTGGATGACCTCCTAGGACACACTTACACACAGTTCCCCCCCCCCCCAGAGCAAGGGAATCCCTAAAGGAGCCAAAGAGAAGCGCCAGTCCGAGTCATTCCCGGCGAAGGTTGGGACAAAACCGCTGTGCTCGCAGGCTGCCTCCCCCCCAACCCCGGACCTCTTGGCTCTCCCGCGGACCCAAGCCCCGCCCCTCCCAGCGGGCCCCGCCCCACTCTCGGGGCGTGCACACGGACCGGTCGGGGAGCCCCGCCCCCAGAGACAGGCAGGGGAGGAAAGCCCCGCCCGCCCCGGACATGCGCACTGGCGCCACCCGCGGACTCGCCCTTCCCCGCCGCGCCTGGAGGGGGCGCCCGCGCTTCCGGCCGGCCGGTCCACTGTTTCCGGGAGGCGCAAGATGGCGGCGGCCGGTCCTCGCGCGTGTCCCTCCGGCGGGACGGGGCGGACGGTGCTGGTGCGGGGGCTGCCCCCCTCGGCCCGCGCCGCCCAGCTGGAGCGGGAGTTCGGGCAGGCGGGGCCGGTGCGGCGGGCGGTGGCCGTGACGGCGCCCGGTGAGTGCGGGGGGAAGGTGGCGGGGGAGGAGGGCGCCCCCCCCACTCTCTCTCCGGCGTCCCGGGTCCTGACGGGCGGCGCGGTCGTTGCAGGCGGCGAGGCGTGCACCGGGCTGGGCTTCGTCTGCTTTTCCCTGCCGGAGGATGCGCAGCGGGCCCTGCGCGAGATCCGCACCTTCGGCGGCCGCCGGGTCAGCCTGGCGTTGGCGCGGCCCAAGCGGCGCAGGGCGGGAGGCGGAGGCGGCGCAGGTGAGCGGCGGGGGAGGCGGGGGGAGCGGGAGGCGGGAGGGGTCCCTGCCCTGGGCCGCCCTCACGCGCCCCGCGGCTCTCTCCCCCCCAGAGGCCCCCCCGGAGGCGCCCCCACCGGCGCAGCAGCCCCCCAAGGTTAGGGGGCCCCCCAAGAAAGCCCGGCTGATCGTCCGCAACCTCAGCTTCAAGGTAGGAGGGGGCGCCGGGCGGGGGGGGCGGTTGTTCCCCGGCCTGGGAGGGGGCGGCCGCCTGGCTCCTCCCCCCCCCCTCGGAGCTCCCCGTGGCCAGCGGATGGCCGAGCCCCTGCGTGAGCCCGGGCTGCCCTTTGCCCTTTAACCCCTTTTGCTTCCCCCCCCCAGTGCACCGAGGGCGACCTGAAGAGCGCCTTTGCTCCCTTTGGGACCGTCCTGGAAGCCTCCCTGCCCAGGAAACCAGGTAGATGGGCAGGGGGACGGGGGGGGGAGGCAGAGGCCGCACTGTCGTCCCCCTCCCCAAGGTTCCTCCCTTGGCAGCCTTTCCTTCTGCAGGCCAGGGGTGACGGCTGTTGCTGGACCCTCTCCCTCTCTCTCTCCCCCCCATCATATATGAAGTGGGTGAATCCAGGAGACTCACCGCTCTGGGCGAGGGGTTGCTTTGCCCCCATCCCTCTGAAGGGCAGAAGTTGTAGTTCCTGCGATGTGGGGAAGAAGCTGGCCTGGGGAATGTGTGAACGCCTTGATCTTCCCTTCCAGATGGAAAACTGCGCGGCTTCGCCTTTGTGCAGTTCAGGAATGTCCTGGAAGCGGGAAAAGCTCTGAAGGGGATGAACATGAAGGAGATCAAAGGTGAATCCCTGCAGGATTTGGGTGGGATCCGTCCTCTCGTGCTGAGATGCTCCCAGAGGAGCAGGAGGGGGACCAGCTTTGGCTCGGCAGATACCAGCCTTGGGGGAAGAATTGCCTCTGTGTCTACGCACACAGTCTTCGCTTCTGTGCAGGGCTGAGGGCCGACGGCACAAAGGTGTCCCAGATATAAAAGCAGCTCAGGGAAGAACCATGTTGCTTTATGGGAAGGAGGAACCTCAAGCCCTGGAAAAGCCAGGGTTTTTACAGAAATTGAGGGCTGCAAGACAGGAATTCCTGGGGGTCTGAGGGGCTAGCCAGTCTGGGGAAGCTGGGCAGGTTCCAGTCCCTGTACCCGAGCAATTTCCATGATTAGGCCAAATTGGGCATGCATCCCTGATTGAGGAGGGAAAGCTGGGGTTTCTCTAGGCCAGTGATGGCACACCTTTTAGAGACCGAGTGCCCAAACTGCAACCCAAAACCCACTTTATGCATCATCGAGTGCTGGGTGGGCGTGGCCGCGGTGGTAACGGCAGACTGGGTGGGACTAAAAAGTTCAATCAATTCCAACTTTGCAAGATGTTTTCTTTCCCCGTGAGACGTTGAAATTGACTGATTGAACCTTTTTCTTTTTTTTGCACACTGTGGCGGAGGCCTAAAGCGAAAAGGTTTTATAAAACCTAGCTGAAGGCCTAGGATTGGGGCGACGGCGCACGTGCCCACAGAGAGGGCTCTGAGTGCCACCTCTGGCACCCGTACCATAGGTTCGCCACCACTGCTCTAGTCTGCAGTTTCCCCTGGGCCGTGCTGTGTGGCAGTGCGGAGATTTCTATTTTTGGTCCAAATAGACTTGCAGAGGGCTTTGCCTCATGCAGGGTCAGTGTGGGTCTATGGGCAAAGAGGGGAGCTGGGGATGACCCTGGTCACGTGGGGAAAGAGTGCAGTAGCCTCCATCTGATCTATTTAGACCTGTTTCCTCCACTGCAGTGACACTTGCTGTCCTGGCAGTTAAGTAGGGCAGGCCTGAAGGTGGGGGGAGGCGTGTCAGGTTTTTAAAAGCAGGCAAAGAGATGGGTGACCTTTTTGTCCTCCCACGTAAGCCTCACCTGAGTCTCAGGCCTCTCTCCAGCCAGCCTCAGCCTTCTCCTTACTCCCTGCAGAGCGTCCGGTGGCTGTGGATTGGGCTGTGGCCCGGGAGAAGTACCAGGCTGCGCAGACAGAAGGTGTCCCTGACGGTGAGTGGCCGACTTGTGTGAATTGGGGTGAGCAATTTCAGGGGTTTGGGGGGGGGCATCTGTTCTGCCCTCCAAGACTTCACCTCTTTTTACTGTAAAAAGACTTTCCACGGGGTTTTTGCAGCCAAATTTTGGAGCGTCTGGCTTCACATGTTGCTGTGACCAAATAAGCCCCACTCTGATTTGACCTGAGGGTCTGGTTCAGAACATCTCCTCACCTTTTCCGTGCCGTGTCTGTCCTCAGAGAAGAGAACCCAGCAAGAAGGTGCCGACGGGAGGGAAGAAAAAGGAGGAAGACCGGCGTCTGCAGGGCCAGGAAGACGTGGCAGGTGAGCCGCAGGGAAGCTGGGGAACGGGTTTGCTTGTGGCGAAAGCCTGGGCGCTTGTGGCCAGCTGGGGCTGCCCTCTGGAGAGCAGTGGGCAGTTGCCAAGCTCTGCAGCTTCCTCTTCCTGCCCAAAGCCAGCAGCCCAGCCCCCCCATCGGTTTTGCCTCCCAGAAACACCCCCTTGCTGGTCCCCCCTGACTGGCCTCTGCCCCTCGCAGGGACCCTGAGCCCCAAACGCCCTCTGCGGATAACGAGGACGGAGAGCAGGAAGTCGGCTCCCCGGAGGAGGAGGAGGAGGAGGAGGAGCCGGAGGAGGCTGGGAGTTCCGAGGAGGAAGAGGAGGAGAGTGCTGAGGAAGAGGAGGAAGGAGGAGGAGGTTGGTTCAGTTGCTTTGGAGGAACTGGATGAGGAGGGTCTGCCCACCTTGAAACAGCAGAAGACCCCGTACAGGTAGTCCTCAACTTATGACCACAGCTAAGCCCATTTCCATTGCTAAGCAGGAGAGTTGTTGTGAGTTTTGTCTCACTTTACGACCCTTCTGGATCACGTGACCGCAGGGATGATGCAACGATCAGTGTGAAAAAGGGCCACAGGTCACTTTTTCAGTGCCCTTGTAACTTTGGTCACTAGGCGAATGGCTGTAGGTCAAGGACTCCCTACGTTAGGCCAGAGGGCGACGGGGGTCCTCCGAGGGGATTCCGCCGTTGCTCGGCTTCTGTTCGGTTATCCCCTCCGATGGCTTCCCAGAGGCTTCTGCTTCTCCCGATGGCCACCTTGCCAGAATCGGCTCGCCTAGGGGCCTCTGGGGAGACTCCCAGCGGAGGGAGGGTGATACCTGCCCCCCCTTGGAGTTTTCGCACCCATGGCTCTGGCGCTTCTGACGCTGGCTGGTTGGGTCTCACCTGGTCTCTGCAGGAGAAGGGCCTGCCCCAGAGCAGAAGCAGCACCGCTCGGATGTCGCAGAGGGCCGGACTGTCTTCCTCAGGTGGGTCCTTGGGGGGGGGTAGGGGCAGGGCAGGGAGGCTGGGTGCCTGCCTGGGGGCTGGAGGGCTGTGGTAGCTCCAGAGGGCCTCGTCATTTCCGGGGAGGGCTCCTGAGGTGCTCCTGCCTGGGGCTCCTGGCCACGCTTGGCATCAGCACGGACACTGTGCCAGGCGGACCTGGCCGCCCCCCGGGGCGTGGGGACAGGTGTGGAGGGGGCCTCCTCTGCTTTCCCCCAGGAACCTGTCCTTTGACACGGAAGAGGAGGAGGTGGGGGAGCTGCTGGAGCAGTTTGGGGACCTGAAGTATGTCCGGATTGTGTTGCACCCTGACACGGAGCGCTCCAAAGGTGAGGAGGGCTTGCAGGCCCCGTCCTCACTCGGCCGGGGGGGAGGCACCCACACCCCTTTGGTTCCCCGTTCCTCTGCAGAAGATGTAAAAACAAGGGCCAAAATTGATCTTTTCCTTTCCCCCCCCCCATCTGCAGTAGCCGTTCAGAAGCCCCCCCCCCATCTTTTCTTGGCTTCTTTCCTCCAATCGTTTTCCCCTCCCCTTTTGCCCTCCTCAGGCTGTGCCTTTGCCCAGTTTGCCACCCAGGAATCTGCCCAGAAATGCCTGCAGAGGGCACAGGAGGAGGGCGAGGTGAGCGCAGGATGCTGTGGGCGGATGGGAGGGGAAGCCTCCCCCCCCAGGACGCCTCCCTCTCACCGTCTTTTCTCCTCCCTGTAAGGCTCGGGGGCTCCATCTGGGGGGCCGCCGTCTCCGGGTGGACCTGGCCGTCAGCCGTGAGGAAGCCCAGCAGCTGCGGAGCACAAAGGCCCAGAAGCCCACTGGCACCCGCAAGCTCTACCTGGCCCGGGAAGGCTGTGAGTGGGTCCTCGGCTCCTCCCTCCCTCGTCCCCAGGACTTCTGCCGGGGGAGAAGCCCTCCAGGGGCCACAAGCCTAACCCTCCGGCCGGCCTGTGACCAGGGGAGGCCCCCTCCTCTCTGACCGGCCTCACCCTCACCCTCCCTTTCCCTCCGCAGTGATCCGGGCCGGCACGAAAGCGGCGGAGGGGGTCAGTGATGCTGACCTGGCCAAAAGGGCCCGGGTGAGTGGCCCTTCTGCACCGGGGGGGGGGGTACATCAGTCTGCGCTTGCCGGCTGCTGTTGAAGGGCCCTGCAAGACGCTCGACCACCCGGGGCCTCTGAAGGCTGGCCTCTCTGTTGAGAGCCTCTGCTGGGACCGGGGCTGGATGACCGATGCCTTCTGATGCGTTGATGTCAAAGGGTGGGCATCGGGAGGCAGCTGGCTTGTTCTCTGCCAGTCTGGGGTAGGACCAGCCCGCAGAGCCCGAATCGGGGTGGAGACAGGGCAGTTTCCGTGGGGGGGGCGCCATCCCCCCGCTGGGATTAAGGGCCCTCCTGGCTCCCTGGTTCTCCCTTGGCCACCCATGAAAGCTGCTCTCTCCCAGGTCCCAGGTGGCTGGACTCTCCGCAGGGGCTTGGACCGTGTGGGGAGCAGCACTGGGCAGTGGGTGGCCGGGCCGGGGGGAAGATGGGCAGGTCTCTGACGGCCCCCCTCCCTCCCTCCCAGTTTGAGCAGCTGAAGCGGCAGAAGCTGAAGGACCAGAATGTGTTTGTGTCCCAGACGAGGCTCTGTGTCCACAACCTGCCCAAGAGTGTGGATGACGCCACCCTGCGGAAGACGATGCTGCAGGCGGCGGGGGGCGCGGCTGATGCCAGGATCAAGGAGGTGAGCCCGGCCCAGCCTCTCTGGGGATCTCGCCCTTCTGCTGCCGGGACCAGGTCTCTGCCCAGGCGCCCTCTTCCTCCCGGGGAGCTGGGCAAGAGCTGCAGATCCACAGTGCTGCTGCCGGAGCCCAAGAAATCGGAGTGGAAGCGGTTGGTGCTCCGGAGCCGAGCAAGCCCAGAGTGGAGGTCTCTGGGCTCCCCCCCCCCGGTCTCCTCCGCTTCTGCAAGGAGGGGGGAGGGGAGGGGAGGGGCCCCTCCATGTCTGAGCCAGGAGCCCACGGGGAGGGGGATGTGCCCGGAGGGGGCGTCCCGAGCATTTCTCATCCGAAAGCTCCTGAGCTGCTTGTTCTCCGGAACGGCTGTGGTTCTCGGATTCCAAAGCCATCCCGGGTCGGGGATCTTCATGATCCCAACCCCGGAAGCTCCTTGGGGTTCCTGATGCCTGAAACGAAGCCCCCCTGAGGAGTCTCAGGGCTCCCCTTGGCCCCTCTGGGCGGGCAAAGCCTCTTGTGGCAGTGAAGTCGGTGCGTTGTGTGCTGAGCTCCGGAGGAGCCTTTGGGCCCCACAGGCCCGGAATCGGCCTTTGGCCTCTGGGTGGGTCCGGCCAGCCTCCAGGGGGTGCCTGACTGCTGCCTGTCCTCCCCCCCCCCCAGTGCCGGGTGATGCGGGAGCTGAAGGGCCGGGGCCAGTCCCTGGGGTATGCCTTCGTGGAGTTCCAGCAGCACCAGCACGCCCTGCTGGCCCTGCGCCAGGTCAACAACAACCCCCAGCTCTTTGGGGACCAGAAGGTGAGTCTCTTCCCCGGCCGGTCGAGGGGAGGCCTCCGGCTGAGCTCAGGGTCCCTGGGGAACCCCAGGGGCAGCAGCGCCGCAGGGCCGGTTCTGGCTTGGCCCGGCAGCCCGCCTTGGGTCCTTCCTCTTCGCGTCTCCCGCGCCCGTTTGGGCACCCCAAGACTCGGGGGGAGGGCATTGGCGGAGGGAAGCAAGGCCAGAGGGGTCCCGGCCTGGGGATTTCTGGCCAGCCCACGGGAGGAACTGGGCAAGAAGTCGGAGGGAGGCCCGTCCCGAGCAGGAGGGCAGAAGTCTGGGTGCCCCTTGGCATCTGCTTTGGGGGCCAAGACGGGGCTGTTCTCTTCCCAGCGGCCTATTGTGGAGTTCTCCCTGGAGGACGGGCGGAAGCTGAAACTGAGGGAGCAGCGTGCCGAACGCAGCCGGGTAGGGCGCCTCCACCCCCCTCCCGTGACTGCGGCGTGAGACCTTCCCCCGAGCAGGGGCCAGTCCCTCCCTGCTGGCTCCGGCAGACTTCTTGGGGTGCCCTCGGGGGGGGGGCTCAGGTTTGCATCCTGAACTGCTGGAGGAGGAAAGCAGGTACGGCTGCAGAGTCCCTGGCGAGAGTCTGACCAGGGCTGCGAGAGGAGCCGGTCAGCACAAGGTGGCCCTGGATGGAGAGCTGTGACCGGTAGTGGGAGGCAGCTGGGCTGTTGTGCAGAGCTGGCTTTCCCTGCCCAGGGTGTGTGTGTGTGTGTGTGTGTGTGTGTGTCTGTGTGTGTGTGTCTGTGTGTCTGTGTGTGTGTGTGTGTGTGTGTGTGTGTGTGTGTGTGTGGAATTGGTCCCTGGCTGCCGGGTGACGCTTATCCCCCTCGTGCAGCAAAAGCTGAGGAAGAAGCAAGCAGCTGCCGGGCCAGCAAGTCAGGGGCCATCGCCCAGCACCGGCCGGCCAGGGGCCCCTCAGAAGCCAGCCAGGGGCGTGAAGAAGGCCCCGGGGCCCGAAGGAAAGGCTGGGGCCCCCAGCAGCGGCCCTCAGGCTCCACCGGAGCACCTTGGGCAGAAGAGGAAGCGGCCTGGGCCCCCGCCCAGCCTCCAGGCCCCCGAAGCAGCCGCCTCCTGGTCAGGCTTCCAGACACGCACGGAGGAGCAGAGGGTGGAGCTGCCGGACGGCACGAAGCGGCGGAGGGTCCTGGCCCTCCCCTCCCACTGGGGGCCCAAGATCAGGTAAGTCCAGCCGCTGAGGGAGCCTCTGGGTCCGGCAGCCCCCACCCCACCCCGCTTCGGTCTTTGCCATCCCGGGAGCTTGGAGCCCCTCCCTCCCTCCCCTGCCCCCCCCGGAAGAAAATCCCCTGGTGCTGCTCTCTGGGCTGATGGGGGGGGGGGCTTCTCTCCTGGCAGGAATCGCAACCAGGGCAGAGTGAAGGGGGCCCCTCCCAAGAAGAAGAAGGCCGGGCCGAAAGAGCAGAAGGCGCCCAGAGCTGCCCCCCAGGTGAGTTGGTGGGTTCTCCCCCCCTGCAGAGCCGCCTGCCTCTGTGCCCCCCTTCCCTCCACCTTCTGAGCCTGGCCCATGCTTGTCCTCAGAGGCCCCAGAAGAAAAAGGCTGGAGGCGGCCGGGCGGAGGTTCGTTTCGAGCAGCTGGTGGAGCGCTACAAGCAGCGGATCCTGGGCACGGCTGGCAAGGCCGCCCTGCCGGCCAAGAGGAGCAAGTGGTTCGAGGACTGACTCGCCCCTCCCCAAGGAAGAGAGCCCCCCCAGCTGGGCGGGGCTGCTTGGATGTCGGGTCCTGCCCTTGGGGGGAGCAAAGGAGGCTCGCCCGGGGCCCGGCTTCTTGGCCCCGTGTGGACGGACGTGACCCAGGACCTGCGGGGCAGACAGGTCGGGGGGAGAGCCCCCTGCAGCCCTGGAAACGCTGGGGTCCCTGCTGGCCCGGGACCTCTGCAGCCAGGGTGGGCGTGGGGGCCTCTGGAGGAAGGGAGAAGCAAGGCAGCCCCGTGCTGTGCCAGACCATCCTCGCTGTAAAGAAGGGTGGGTGGGTGAGCCCTGGGGGCCCTTCCTCCGTGCCTAGCCTCACCGGGCAGAAATGGGTCCTCACAACACCATCAGCCTGGTGGAAGGTGCAGAGGAGGGGGGGCTGCTGCTGTTCTGAGGAGGAGGAGGAGGCTGCAGCCACGGAGCGCCCCTCGCTCGTTCGGCCTCTCTTAATAAATGGCTTTCTCCGAGTGATGGTTCCTGGGAGTTCCTCCGGGGCTGGATCACAGGATCTCTTTTCTGTCGGGGAGGAGGGGGGCTGGAGCACTAATCCCGCTGAAGAGGCAGGGGGCCGTTTTAGCCTGGTTCGGAGGTTCCCCCCCCCCAGGCGTTGGAGACAGAATCAGCCTGTGGATTGCCTACTTGACTCTTAACAGAATCACAGACTTGGAAGGGACCTTGGAGGTCTTCTAGTCCAACCCCTGCTCAAGCAGGTGATACGATGCCATTCTGGATAAATGGTTGGCCAGTCTCTTCTTAAAAACACTCAGGGTTGGAGCATCCACAACCTCTGGAGCACCCATCACAGTGGAGGTGGTTCCCCTGGTCAGTTCTCCCTGTCAGGAAATTCCTCCTTAGTTCCAGGTTGCTTCTCTCTTTGTTCAGTGTCCACCCATTGCTTCTTCTCCTGCCTTCCGGGGCTTTGGAGAATAGTTTGAGCCCCCCCTTCTTTGGGACAGCCCCTCAAACACCGGAAGACTGCTATCACGTCACACACACACACCCCTCGTCCTTTTCTCTAGACTGGCCATTCCCAACGCCAGCCCCCGTTCTTCACACATTTCAGCCTCCAGCCCCCTAATCATCTCTGTTGCTCTTCTCTGTGCTCTTTCTAGAATCTCAGCACCTTTTTTGCATCGTGGTGGCCCAAACCGGATGATTTCACTGGGTGTTAAGTTCCCTCTGGGGGCACCTTTGCCAACCTGCTCCCAGTGAATGATCTCGCTGAGTTTAATGGGAGCCTTCCCACTCACGGCCCAGTTTCCCACTGGGGGAAGGCATTGTTCGGGGTGCCTGGACTGGAGGGTCCCGTTCTGGAGAGGGGAGGGCTGGGTGGTTTGCAGGAAGTGGGGAGACCCAGGGCTCCCACAAAGCCCCCCCAGCTGGTCCTCCAATCAAACCAGGCTGTGGAGGGTGCGTGTGATGGGTTGAGGCTAAAGCAGCCCGCTTCCCTTTGGTGACTGCTGGCTATGCAGGGAGTCCTCAACATACGACCGCAATTCCCAAAATTTATGCTGCCAAGCGAGACATTTGTTGAGTGACTTTTGCCCCATTCTATGACTCTTCTTATCACGGTTGCTAAGTGAATCACTGCAGTTGCTAAGTGAATCTAGTTTCCCCATTGACTTTGCATGGCCTTGGGACATAGCAACGGTCATAAATATGTCTGTTACCGAGCATCTGAACATGGCCACGTGTTCGTGGAGACGCTGCAAAGGTGGTGACTGAAAAATGATCCTGTCGCTTTTTTCAGCGATGTGACTTTGAGCAGTCACTAGTCCAGGAGTCCTTGTTCTGAAAGCCCTCCTGCCTTTTTGACCCCTTTGGAGGAGCCCCCTCAGAGCACCTGGGACCACAAATCCCATCCCAGAAGCCCTGGCTTGGCCAGGCCTTGTCATCTGATTGGCCTGCTGACCCCAAAGCCCTCCTGGGGGGCAGCTGAGGCGGCCTGGGGCTGGAAGACTCAGCCCTTGGGGGTCTGGCTCAGCTCCAGGCTGCTCTTGGCATCAGCCAGGAGGGCAGCGAGTCAGCACCACCTGAAGGGGGGGTTCACCCCGTGACTGTCCCAGCCAGCCAATGGGGAGGGGGGACACGATGGGGGGGAGCTGCACTGCTCTGCTTCGGCCAGGCTGCGTCTGGGGCACAATGCCAGTCAGTCGCCTGAGATCCTCCGAGCAGGGCATGCAGCTGGCCCAGGCTCTGCCTCTGGAAAGAGGGACTCTCGGGGAAGCAGCCTGTTGGCAGATGAGCTCACAGCCCCCTGGAGAGTCGTGGGGGGGGCTTCCCCCACCAAGGGGTGCAGTGGGAGCCTGCAGTCTGAACAGATGCTCGGTCCAGGCCGAGAGCCACTGTGGGCCCCTGCAGCAGTCCAGGGCCAGGGCGAACTGCCTCTCGGCTGCTTCTGCTCCCCAGTTCCTATTTGACCCCCTTGGCCAGTTCACGGGGGGGGGGGACTTTTGCAGGGTGATGCTCTTGTGGCTTTTTCCCGCATTTCAGAAGGGCCTTTTGGGGATCCCTCCTGTCTCCCCCACTCTTTCCCTTCAGTCTGGGCTCCTGGCTAGTGCGTCCCTGGCCCTGCCTCCTCTCCCGTGGGGGCAGGGCCCTGCTAGGCTGGGCCCCAGGAGAGCCATCTTCCTCACCTAGCAGGAAGCTGTGTAGTGGGGGCTGGAGCTGGAGGAGGGGCTGGGACTGAGAGCGCCCTCATCCTTTGCAGATGTCCTGAATTTTGGCACTTCACACAGAGGAGCGTGTGGGTCTGGCCCAGTGCCTGCTGGATCCCCTTCTGTTGCAAGCGGTTCGTCTTCCTAATGCAAAACTGAAGCCCGGCTTGTCTTCCCCCCCGCTTCCCGGCGCCAGGAAAATGAGGGCAGAGCCAGCCCCGTGACCTGACTGCCCCTTTCCCCACAGCCTCCCTTCCCCTGCCCCACACTTCCTCGTGCAAGTGGTCCTTCTCTGCAGCTGCTGCCCGCCCTGCTGCTGGGCATTCTTCCCATCCAAGGCCAGGCCGAGGGGCAGGGAGGCAGTCTGGCTGCAGGAGGTGGCAACCAGGGGCTGCTTCTGCCAGGGCTCTCCGAAGGCCTGTGCCGGCTCGGGTGCCAAACAGGAGGGAAGCCACCTCCATTTCTCTCTGCCAACCTGCATAATTGAGCAAAGAAGCATCTGGTTCTGGCCCGGATGCTGAAGAGAGACAAATGCAGACCAGAGAGGGAGGGAAGCGGGCCCATGTGGTGATGTCCTGGCTGGCTGCCGCTGCCACCGCAGACACTTTGATGGCCAGCGGAGACAGCCACCGCCTGGCTCCACGGATGTCGTTGACTCAGCTGGAGCACCCCCATCGCCCCTCCCTGGGCTGGAGGGCTGCGGACAGGCGGCGGTTGTGCCAGTGCTGGACACGTGAGCACCTGCGGGTCTCCCTGGTCCCTCCGGGCGAGGGCTGGGAATGTTCCCCGGAGGGCCAGGCTGGGGGCGGCTCCCCCAGTCGCATGCCAGCCATGCAGCACCCCCTCCTAGCTACGGGGGCCTCTGGGGCGGGAGGGCTGAGGCAAGAGCTGTCTGCATCATGGGCAGCTGAGTTGGGGCTCCAGGCCCTGCTCATTTCTTTTGGCCCTGCTGGATATAATCCTGGGCCACAATCAGGCTGGAATTCTTCAGGAATCGGAGCTTTGGATCCGGTGCCTGGCTGAACAGCTGCCTCTTGGGCCTTTCCTTGGCCGCGGTTCCGTGCCTGCCAACTGAAAGGCAGCCCGTTCCTCAGCAGGCTCTCCCCTTGGGCAGGCCAGGATAAGGGGCTGATGGAACAGAAGTCTTGCTGGGCCCCTAAGGCAGGGCTTTTCAACCAGTGGTACGGGTACCACCTGTGGTCCATTGGCACCTGGCAGGTGGTACGCGACCATCCTAGAAAAGCAGCGGGGGAGGGGAATGAGCTGAACCGGTGGCAGCACCGCACAAGCCTGAGCGAGAGACGGCTGGAGCTGCACTGCTGTCAGGGCTGAGCGGAAGCGCCAGGATCAGTGCTGCTTTCCAGCTGATCGGTGCTTCTTTGGGGCTGTCAGCGTTCAGTGGAAGTACCAGGATCAGCGCCAGGCTCCAGCTGGAGCTTGACACTGATCCTGGAGCTTCTGCTGAGCCCAGAAGAAGCACCAATCAGCTGGAAAGCAGCACTGATACTGGTACTTCTGCTAAGCCCAGAAGAAGCGCCGATCAGCTGGAATGTTGCAGCACCTCCAGGGTCTTGTGATTTACATTCAGATGATTCATATTTATGACGGTCACAGTGTCCCAGGGTCATGTGAAGTGACCAAAACCACCCAGCAGACAGGGAGAATAAAAACCAAACACCCCCCACCCCACCCCTGCTGCCAATCCCCAACAGAAATGCTCACAACAATGAACCTTGGACAGGAGGAAGAGCGCGGGTGGGCGGGCAGGCAGGTGTCTTGTTCGGCTGTTGCTTGGGGGGCACTTTTTTCAGTGCCATTGTAACTTCGAACAGTCACTAAGCAAACTGTTGTAAGTCGAGAACTACCTGTACTTTATCACTTTTTCTCTTTTTTTTTTTTTTTTTGGTCATCAAGTTTTTGACCTCTTGCTAGGCGACTGGTGGTCCTCGGATGTTGCCATATCCTAAAAGTGTTACAATGGGTGAAAAGGTTGAAAAGCCCTGCCCTAAGGGACTGATGCCCAGAGCTCCCTTGCCGTGGGGCAGAGGGGCCTGGGCCTGACCCACAGGCCAGTGGCCCAGGAAGTCCAAGAAAGGAAACTGGAAACTGCCCCTTTGGAGTGAAGCCGGGATTTATGCCGACCCCGGAGGGACCTGCGCTGAGGAGGGAGAGCGGAGCTGGGTTGCCTGGCTTGCAGGGAGAGAACCAGGGGGAAGGAAGGCCAGGAGCTGGGAGGCTGAGGGGACAGGAATTCCCAAAAGGGAGATTTGTGGGAAGCCAAACCCTTGGAAGCCCCCCCCCCAATTGGGGAAACAGGCCTTTGCAGGGACCAGGCCCTGAACTCTCTATTTATCCTGCTTAGCCAAGCTTGAGAGAGGCCGCTGGAGACTGGCATGCAGACCTGGGCTTAACAGACAGTGGCAGTAGAGCTGCTTACGCCTGACGCCTTTTTTCTGGCAGAATTTCTGCCCAGCCCTGGGACGTTGCAGCCACAAAAGCATTTGCCAGACCTCCTGAATGCCAGGGAGCTCCCTGCCTTCCTGGCCACCCGAGTCACCGTAGATCTGGGAGGGGATGGCCCAGCACCCAGGGCTGGTTCAAGGGCTGAAGGCTGACGCAGTTTCTACCCAGGGGGAGCTAATCTTGACCTCTTTGGGCTGCCGATTGCTCCATCCGGGCTTTCGCCTTCTGCCAGGGAGGCTTCTGGGTGCCAAGCCCTTCCCAGCCCCAAACAGCAGAGAGGTCAGGTGGGGTCCAGGTCCCACTCTCCCCAGGCGGGTGCCAGGGACATTGGCCCAGCCTCTGCAAAT